CCCCCTTTTTCGAGCATAACTTTTCAACGACCGAATGGATTTTGCTTCAAGTTGGCTTGTATGATTGCTATGGGTCATAGCTACACCACAATTTTTAGTTTGTGCCAATTAAAGCTCTGTGGGCGGAGATAAGAGCGGTGGCGCATATAAGAAATTGCGCCACCGGTGGCGTAAATAGACAAATCCTTGCTAGATGCGTGGCCCCCCCGATCCTTCCTGAATGCAACGCATACTTCTGTGGGTCTCTACCCGCCGCACTCACGAGTAACCTGAGGTGTCTCGATGCCTCTACCCTCGAAATCACCTTCCACCTGTCTTGTGCCCACGATTGCATCAACGGTGCATGACTCCCGAGCTCGGGGTGCAGATCTAACAGGTCGAGTAACACCTTCAACGCTACTCCCGATCTATAGACGGTTGCTCCCAAACGTTTTTGATCTGCTTTTGACGCTCTGAACGTGACTTCCACTCGGCTGGCCTGCCTCCGGTCTGCCCAAGCAACCCTTACCGGACCGCAAAAGAAACCCAGGTCTCCTCTTGTCAGACAAAAATCCGAGTGCACGAGCCCCGAGTCGTCCACCCAGATTTCTGAGGCTCGGCACATCAGCAAGTATGATAGGGCAAGTCCACACCAGATCAACTTCCCTGATTCTCCCGAATTTTCGACCACGCACTTTCCAGCCTCTAGCATGTCCCAAGAAAGTGGATTCCTAACCTTAGGCTTCGTCTGCGTATTGGCGTGAGCCCTTCAACATGGCAAGGATCTGGAAATGCGAAGTGGGCAACTCCCATCCTGCGTGCATTTATGGAAGTACTTGACGGCTGAGAGATACCCGCGGATCGTCTGACTCTGGTTCTTGTGGCCGAAACACCGGCAAGCCATGAACACAGACAGCTCACGCACCGCACTTTCCACCCCATCGCTCTCGCGGAGCCACGGGCCCGAACCCGCCCCTGCTCGAGCCTCCTTCCACGTGTTCCATATCCTTTGATACACCTTGTTGGTACCACCTCCCAAAGACCTGAAGGTGAGTGCGTTGACCAACCGCTCCCCCTCGACGCTCGTGCCTCCCCGGCCATCCTTTCCCTGTGTTTCTAATATTCAATCATCGGGTATGCACAGCGTGGGGAATGGCACATTTCGAGGTTCCTTTCCAAGGTACGACAAGTTCATGCCGAAACCGTGTATAGCCCCGACTTGGCTTGAAGGGAGAACAGAAAAACTTGGTCGTCCAAACCAACTCTGCCTCCCCTGGCTATCCATTTTATCAAGGCGTCATGAAACAGTGAATGTGAGGCGTGTCCACCGCTCCAACTTCTCGCTATCTCATTTCGTTTGATAATTCGTTGATCGTCCGGAAAAACACGGAGCGGTGTCCATCCGCCCCTTCTGCCGTGACAGATATTTTCTATTCGATGGACCATAACGTCCCATACCGAGTCGTCCAGACTTTCTTTCGGCAATTTCTTTTGAACGATAAGGCTGAGCAACGCTCGTCCCCCTTCTCCAATATCCTGCTGTGTCCACCCTGAGTCTTTTGTGAGCATTGTCACGTTGGCGGCGATCTCGTTTTCTTCCCAGCGTGAGATCCCGTCCGCAAGTGTGTTCTTTCGACCAGGGATGTGCTTGGCCACGTGGCACCAGCCGCAAGAAATTTCCATCCTACCCATGAGTCTCATTATGAGGCTAGCGCGCCTGTCACGCGATCCCCCACACCTGTTAGTCCAACTGACGGCCGACACGTTGTCTCCACGCATCAACACCGACTGCCCTTCTTCTACAGGTCTGTCTTTCAAGATCATTTGGACTACGCACGCCGTCATGAACATGCCCGCGAGTTCTAACAGATCGATCTTAAATGTCCGACGTCTCCTTCTCTTGCGCCTTGCGCTTGAGCTCCGCAGACAACGATGAGTCGATCGTGTATCTCCAGAAAATCTTTAGTTCGGGACAGAAGCCGCCAATCGCTGTGAAGCTAGCGTCTGAGAGGTAAAGGCGTGATGGTGCTCGTTTTACGTGTAGTAGGAACGATGCGCTGAGGGACTCCCCTCGAAGTGCCAGTGGCTGATTGAGGGCCCACTTCCAGAAGGCGATATCGCCGTGGAACTCTCTACCCAAGTCCACTAGTCGTCGTGACCGTGTGTGTCGACTGGCCTGCGTATGCAGACCCGATAGGCGGAGCAGTTGCCACACGAAGTACCTACCGGCCCTGATAACATAAGTGAGGTTCCACAGTTTTCCTGCAATGCTGAGGACTTCTTGAACACTGGCCTTCTTCCTATCGTGGGGCCAATCTGTCTTTAGTATGTTCCGAATCGCGCTTACCCTTTCCGGTGTAGTTGCAATTCTTCCAGCATGCGTGTCTATGATGTACCCCAGGGCCTCTGTGACCGTGTCCCAGTCAGTGCTCTTTTTCGGGGCGAGAATGGGGGTTTCTCCGAGTTCTCCCTTGCCAAACAGTCTGACATGGTCTGACGCTAGTGAGGCGGACGCAATGAGTGCCGATTGGTCAGTGGGGTCATGCTGGACCTTCGTGAGCAAGAAATCGTCAACGTAGACCCTGGCCAAGAAATCGTCCGCGGGTCCCCCGCCTCTATGCGGTCTTACGCCTGCCGACGATGGTATTGGGGTTGGGGTGCCTTTTTCCCAAGGAGGTTTTATTTTCACGTGGGACATCATTGCGATTCCTTCTGGTAGTAGTCGAGCGTTCGCGAGGGACGTGTTGCGGTGCGAGTGCTCTGCAGCGGAGGCTAACACACCCCACAATCCTGGTGACGCTGCCCAGCCAACGGTCAGCCGTAGATCCGCTACCAGCACGTCTCCTATCACGTAGCAAAAGTTGTGTGCATGATCTGGTGATATCCTCACGTTTCTGAACGCAGAGGTGACATCAGCCTTGGCTGCGA